GCTCTAGGCGTCTGTTTTGACGCTTTATCTCCCGGAGTTCCTCGGTAAACCAAGGTGCTCTCCTGGATCCACTGCCGTGGAGAGCCTGCAAAGACGCAATCCGATCTAGTGCCCTAGCCGCTGCAGTATTCCAGGCAGCGACCAAGGAATCAGTCGAATTGTGGGCAAGGGAGTCAGGTATCTCTCCAAGCTCCGTCTGAAATCCCAATGAGTCCATCAGGCGCCTGGGGTGGAACCATTTAATCGGCTCCACCTCCCTGCAGTGTGGGAGTAGTTTCCGAAAATCCAACCTCAGTAGGAAGTGATCTAACCATGGCAAGGACGAGATCTCTATGCCCTTCAGTTCCAGATCACGTCTCCACTGTCCCGAGAGTAACACGAGGTCGAGTGTATGTCCCGCTGTATGAGTCGGGCCCTGGATTACCTGGGTCAAGTCTATGGTTGTCATGGAAGCTATGAACTCCTGTGCCCCATCAGAACGTTCGCCGAGAGATGGCAGGTTGAAATCCCCCAGTACTATCAGTCTGGGGAACTCAACCGCCAGTCCGTCTACTGACTCAAGGAGCTGTTGTAATGCAGCTGGGAGGTAGGTACGTTAGAAACAAACCCACTTGACCCCCTAGGTCCAACTTCACCAGAAGGGACTCACACCCGACAGTCTCTGGAGCAGGGATCCTACGAGGCACTAGTGACTCTCGGATGATGACAGCCACTCCCCCACCCTTTTCCTGGTGTCGCGGTTGGTGGAGCACCTGAAACCCTTCTGGGCATATTTTTGAGAGCGGGACTCCTCCCTCGTGGCCCAGCCAGGTTTCAGTAATACATGCCAGGTCTGCCCCCTCGTCTAAAGCCTGAAACCAATACTTGTCAAACCGGGAAACTGGGATTAACATACCTGTAGTTAAAGGAAGGTGAATGACAGTTTTTAAACATGTCAAAGTATACCAAAAGGATGACAAAGTTGCTCCTGACAGTAACAGAAGTAGGATAGGTTTCAGCATTCCTCTGATAAAATCAGCAAACCTATAACATAAACCATAATTTTAAAATTATTCATATAATCTGTGATAAAAAGTATATTTTAGCTAAATATACACTAGCTAAAGTGCCAAATATAATTATTAAAACAGTGTTTTCTGATGTAATAGTTTGTTTTATAAAGGTATCAATAGACACAAAGATGCATTACAATATATATGATAATTTTGAAATACTAAAATGAGCCTTAGGTATACAAGTAAGTCTATGGTTTGTTTTGTTTTTATCTTATTCCTGCCTGAGAAAAATATCTTAGGAAATGAAACAAAATTGCTGAATAATGGAAATTAACCCTTTCCCCTCCAGTTAATGAGGCATTGTAAATGGCTATTTTGCTCAGTTCAACATCATCTTGAGCTGAGTATTTCTGTTAAGTTCAATGGGCTGGGCTGGATATAAAATTTGATCTCAAAAGTATTGGCATACTCATTTTCACATTGTTACCCACTTTTGTAGAAACCTGAGTTATTTCAGCCATTTATCCTGGATTACTCAAATGGTCTGATGAAAAATGACCACTGAATTTAAGACCAATGCACCAAAAAGGGATAACCAATTAAAATGTATTGGAATAATATGCAAACTGGTAACATGTCAGAGAAAAACAGTGAGAACGTAATATAAAATTATTTAAATGAATGAATCACATTACAATGAAATGCTTAATGAATCACAATAGAATAAAATTATTAATCAAATAAAACAATTGAAACAAAGTTTTCACAGCTAGTTATGGAATAATAAATGGTGAATCAGGAACTATTGAAGGAATAATGAATGCTAATATAAATCAGAAAAAAGGCATATTAAAATTAAACTTTTGCTAAGTTCAATTTTTAATCAGAATGTTTTGCCTTTCAATCTTATTGAGAGACATTAAAGGCTAGGGTTAAAAAGAATTCAGGATCATATTTGGTGGCATCAAAATAAATACAGTAGCACTTTAACATTAGCGTTTTTATAGACAATTGTATCTTTTAACGAAAGAGGCATCTCATGACCAAGCCGACTACTAAGTCCTGAATATCATTTATTATTTTTCTCTAGCATATATATTTGGTTGTTGTTTATGTGCTGATGTTTCAAAATTTATATTTCAAAATTTATATTAAATTCATAGATAGTTAGATAAAAGCGTTACTAATTCCTTGCTTTTCACTTTTTTGCCTCTGGACTTTGCAGTCAATGATCTTATTGATAATATGAAAATATAAATAGAGCTGTTTTAATTTCCCTTTAATCATGAAAAAAGTGCAGAAGCACTATGCTCAAGTTTTTAAATTATTTCTCCTAAAGTGTCATATACCTGTGATTTATTGTTTATCAGATCTTTTACATTGCAATATTGTAGCTGAGTAGAGAGAAGCCCAATAAATATTTTTGAAAGCTAGTTCAGGTCCTAGGTCCTTAAACCAAGATGGTCAGGGCCCTTTAAAGATTTGTTAGTTCAAGCCATGTCCCCCAGCAAACCTTTCTAGTACAGAGATAGCCCAGATCAACCGCCATTGGGCTCAGATTCTGTCTTCCAAATAGATCTAAACCCTCCTTCATCACACTCTTAAAGCATAAAAGTGACTCAGGCTTTATTTATCCAAAATTTATTAAGTCCCTTGTTCATATAGCCACAGAAAGTGGCTAGACTCACAAAGTTAACATTTCCTGAGCTGAAAAGGGGCAGCCTTCTGACTTTGTGCCACTTGGAGGGCATAGGATCTTTGACTTTGGGAGCTAAAGGACATAAGACAATTTATCAGCTTGCATTAATTTACCAGCTTGCATTAAAATGAGTTTGTATTGATTTTTAGAGACACTTTAATTTTACATATGGTAAGCCTCTTAGTGTCATATGAGCAAGTTGTACACACTGGGGGATATGTAAGCCCAGTGAATCTCTCAGACGTATCTATTGTTGTAGGGGAAGAGGGAGAGGAAAGTACCCCATTTAAAGTTTCTGAATGAAAAGTGGGATATAAATTAAATAAACTACCTGGTAATAAATAAAGACTATGTGGACCCAAAACTGGGTAATCTATAAGGCCATTCTGGTTGAGAATTCTGGGAATTAAGATCCCAGCTTTTAAGCACAGCTTTTACGTGTAAAGTCAAGGACTTTTTGTTAATATTACACACAGAGAAATACTTCCTTAATTATCAGACAACATTGGCACTAATAATTGCCATTTCAGACTCAGTCTTGCATTCCAACTGAGGCTGATAATATGCCGCAAGAAACAGCATTCTGCTCTTTTTTTCTATCTAGCAACTAACATTCAGAAAAATTGGTCCAGTTCTAATTTATTCTCCACTTGCATACTTTATCACGTCTGCTGTTCATTTCTTCTCCTTTTTTCTTTCCAACAAATTGCAATATAGCCCTTGACCTTGAACTTCCACTGACAAGGCAGTTCAGTTCCTACTACAGGACACCAAGGAGCATATTGCTGTCACCCTTTTAATTTGGACCAGTATTTCATGAACTAAAAACGTCACTTTGTATGCATTCTTTAGTTCACAATTTAATTAAATCTTTAAACCCCTCTCCTTATTGCTATAGATATCACCTTATGTTGCAAAGTTGCTGCATTTTGACTTTGCTGTAGTTTAATGCTGAAGGATGCTGAAATGTTGAGCTATGAAGGACAAAACTTGAAAAATAACTCTGGCCACTATGAAATATGACAAGAAAAATGCCATGGGGAAAAAGAGGAAATTGGGTTGATTTGCAATGCTGTGCAATTTAAGTTTTTTTAAAAAATAGGTGTCACTTTCAAAAAAAAAAATCCTTTCCTTCCCCAACTCAAATTAGCTTCGTTTCCTAGTGAATAAGAAAATCATACAATACCCACGAACCACCTAAAATATCTAAGGCTTTTCAATCATAAACATCCCATATAAATTATCTCAAATTTCTGGTCTGGAGTTAGGAGAGTGGCATAAATCTCATGTGGAGGAAGGCACCATATACTACTGGTAAAAAAATAATGAAATTTGAGAGCTCATTTTCCAACTCCGCTTTCCTCTGACAGGCATAATTTTGTACCACAGGCACAAACATTTCTATTAGATGCAAAGATTGCTTGACATCCAAATGATAGCTTCAGCACCATCCAAGTGGAAAGAGGTTTAAATGCAGTGTCCTTTATAGATTGCATTTAGCCAGTAAATAATGCTCACCAGGTGAGTGAAATTATATTGCAATTTATTGCAATGGGTGGTGGAAGGACTGGGAGTGAGTTACAGTATAGGATGGAATAAATCTCCACTAGAGTTGTAAGAGGAAATTCCAGAGCTACTAAGCAAATTAGCAACTAGTGCATGGGTAACAAACTCACGCCTTGCGGGCCAGATGCGTCACATACTGGCCACACCCACTCCCTATTTAGTGAAGGGGAGAAAAGTCGGGACACATCATGTGATGTCAGTGTGACGTTGTGAGTTTGACACCCCTGAATTAATGGTACAAAACAAAGGCTCCAGACTTAAATCATTAGAAAATATACCAAGCTGCCTTCAAGTCACAGGACCATCGCAGAAATCCATGAGCCTGTGGGACCTGACAAATATCATTACCTAATTTTCTTAATTACAACTTTCAGCAGGTGACAGTCAGTAGAGACACTGATTTAATTTTATACAGATAAATTGCTGAATAGGTCTAAGGAAAGGGAGTCATTCATCAAAACAGATAAATCGCTACTCTTTTTGCATTCAAAATTCTGTGCTTGAAGGTTTTGTAATTTTTCAGTCAGAAAGAGGCATTTGGCAAGAGTCTGTTAACTTTTTATTAAAAGCACAAAAAGTTTGAAGTGCTGGAGTCAACAAAAATGTATGCATTGCTATGGAATCGGAAACCATTTGTTAGCAGATAAAAAGACATTAACAGATATTCTGCAACTAAAACTGAGCTACATATTTGAGTAATTAATTTCTCTCAAAAGGTCAAAATTTACATAAAACTCCATTGGCAAACCTGCAGAAGTCATCATAAAGCTAAAAATGAATGGCCACCCATTACAATATACCAGCAAGAGAAAGAACTACCCTTTGTATAAAAGATCCCATATAAAGCAGTAGAAGAAAAATCAATACGATACAAGACTTTGCGGACTTAAAGCGATAAGAGGCTCCACATATTTATAGTTGTAATTCTATGCCCTTGTTTCCATTTCCTTGAGAGTGTTTATCAAAGAGCTCTGCTCCCTAACAACCAGATATCTCATTTAGCAAATCTAAATAAGCAATTCTAATTTTTAGATATTTTTATGTTCAAATATAGCACTGCAACCTTAACAAGGAAAGAAGTAATTTTCTAAAATAAGGTAATTGATTTTTAAAAAAAGTAGAGCATTCAACTCTATTAGTCATATCCAAAAGCCAACTATATTAGTTGTATTTTGGTAGAAGAACCATCCAATGCTTTCAATAATATGGATTAACTTGACCCCACGTTTTAAAGATATCTGCAATTTGTTAAAAGCATAATCAGAATATTTAAAATTACAGCTGTCATTGTATGTGAAGGAGGAAAAGCATGAGGGATTGAGTCTCAGTGTACTGTACACTCAATCCTTGTTATCCACAGGGGTTATATCTTGAAAACTCCCACAAAAACAGAAATCACTGATTTCAAAGCATTCAAAATGAGGACCCAGATTGTTGGGGGCAATATGCTGACTCTCTGTAAACCGCTTAGAGAGGCCTGAAAGGCCTATGAAGCGGTATATAAGTCTACTGCTATTGCTATATTGCTATATTATAATCTGTACAGAACAATGAATGAGATGGAAATCTTCAAATACTTACCTATCATTTTGTCAGAAATACCTTATTTCAGCAAAGAAGAAACTGAAGTTGCAACTATTCCTAGCAATCCTTCATCCCCTTTCCTGTTTAATTTTTTTTATAGTAAATGTACACCTACATACAGACGGGCACAGTTGGAGTAAGGCCCCCCCTTTAAAAAAACCAATAGGATATGGCAACAGTGAAGTTTTTCTGCATACTTTGTCACCAAATCTGACATAAACATAATGTCAGATTTGGTGGTAAAGTGTAAGCTCCACAGATGTGCAGAAAAAAAATCTATTAATTATAATGTATTTTGATTACTTTAGTAAGATTACTAATCTATAAACTAACACTAGCTACTCCCAACCATCCTTAAACATAACACTTTAAAAAAATCCTGTGTTGCAATTATTGCTATATAGCACCAGGAGTGAACACAATAATACTTTTAATTTTAACATAAGCAAATGCATTGAAACAGATTTTAAAGACATGTTGAAAGCAATCGTTTTTCAAGTGAAGTGTGCAGTTCCTCATGGCTAATTTATTCAAGGCTTCAGGCCAACAGAGGCCGCGACTGAAAGAAGCAGTGCCTCTTTTTTGAAAATGCCATTGTCATTCCTTCAAGCCCAATGGAAAGATGAAAGGAAATTGTATAAAGGAATTGAAAACTCAGTCTAGCCATCCATCAGCAGGACAATTCTTCGGGAAAAAACAACCCGATGGTACCAAACTTGGTGAGGCTGGAAAAAGCTAGCAAAAATAAGGGGAGGGGGAGACAGAAAATCAATCATTTCCACTTGGGATTGAGGAGAAAAACAATCCAGAATAAAGTTCTTCCCAGACATCTGGGTGGGATAGTTGGGATGATCCCTGACTATTGCTGATTTCTCCATCCAATATTCCTCTTTGACGCAGAGCAGTGCATAAGAACTCACCCTGTGCATCGAAAGGAGCACATAAACAGAAACACAGAGATGTGGTCTACAAGGGAGAATGGAATTTCTCCTCTCCCCCACCCTTTCACACAAACAAACTTTTTAGCTTGCTACATAAAAGAAAACAAAGGTGCTTCTTATGGCCCGTGCCAGTGGTGGGATTCCAAATCTTTTCCTACTGGTTTGCAGTATTCAAAGACTACCCTCAGTGTCAGCGTTGGTGAGCTGAGCCGTTTTTTAGCTCAGCTGAGGTGCAGCAATCTGCTCTGCCGTGCGAGTCAGCTGAGCTAAAAAAACAAGGGAATATAGGACAGGGAACAATGGGGATGGGAAGGCAGGGCCAACCAGAGGTGTATATGCCGGTACTCCGATCTACTAGAAATTTCCGCTACCAGTTCGCCTGAACCAGTCCGAACCGGCTGAATACCACCTCAGTGCTGATAAGAGGCCTGGAAAACATTCTAGAAACTATGATCTGCACATGGAGAAGCTAAGATAGCAGAGAGGTGTATAAATCTTTCTTTAACTCCTCATTTTCACTCTTAAAGTTCTTTCTCTTCCAACCAGCTTTTCTCTTTCTCACATACAGAAGGCACCAAAGAATGGACAAATAGCTCTTGAAAATGATGTGAACTTTCAGAATGCTTTAGAAATTAGGCTCAAGGTCACATGAAATTAGAGGATTGTGTGAGTTTTTCATACCATAGATCTTATTATAGCCTAGAAAATTTTATGTTAATCATATGATATAATGAGCACTTTAAAATTATGCCACTATAAACTATATCACAGCCATCAAATCAAACCAATTCATTGGAATCAAATCAATTCATTGGAATCAAATCAATTCATTGGAATCACATGTTTACACTTAATTTATTTACAGAATTTCTGTTTCATGTTCCAATACAAAATAATGTGCAAGTGGCTTAAAACCATAAACTAAAACAATAACAAAATATATACTGAATCATTGTTTTGAAAGTTTATCAATCTGAGAAAAAATCTGATTAAAGTTTGATGAAAAAGGATGAAGAAGCAAGAATCAGAAAGAAGCAAAAGTTTAAGGGACTGACTAGTTATTAAAAGCAGAGGAAAATGAAATGCTTAAAAATATATGTATTTATTTGATTTATTCTGCCTTTATTTTTTGTCAACTCAAGTCAGCATATACCTACCATACCCAATGGTATTACTTATTTTTATTTCAATTTAATTTAGTTTTGATGCTTAACAGTAGGTCTTTCTAAAGTTAGATCCTGGGTAGAGTTCTGAAAATATACTCAAAAAAAGGCACATACAAAAAACTACAAAGAGCTTAAAATTAGTTCTGTGTTATCACATATGCAACAAATATATAATACTACAAAACACTGATCTGGAAAATTTCACAGCTCGGTAGGTTTTATCATATTCAGTTCTAATATAATAAATGCAAACTGGCAATAAATTGTTTTTTGTGGCCTTGAACTTAAAAATAAAGGGGAAGCTGAGGTCATAAAATGGGAAGGACCACATTAACTAGTATAGTCAGGGCTTGTATGTTTCATGTAACTTTGGAGAGGGTTTAAAAAAAAATCTGTGATCTACCCATTTTCAAAGTTATACCACAGCTTTAAAGTTGTGATAGAAAACCACGGTAGCAGCTTCCAGCTCTTATATTTGAGGACAGTACTATATAGCAAAAAGCAGGCTGCAGTTGCTATATGATATACCATAAGCTAAGCTATAAATTTATATGAGTGACACTAAATCATATATAAGCTGCTTTTTTTTGCCATTTTGCTTCTCTTTTGGAGGAAGAAAAAGAGCCAGCAAGCTCACATTTAATTACCCTTTCCCATGTTGGAAATGTTTCAAATGTTAGAAATGAACATTTCTAACTGGCTTACTCTTGTGAAATGCAGGGAAAAGTTCCATGTGGGCATATACATCTTATGGCTATGTGGTTTACTCAACCATAGATTTCATCATTTGATCACAACCATATATTATTTAGACTATTAAGTATATTAATTCCTTTTTGCATGAAAGTTCATTAAGCTGAACAATTTATATGACCAATATAATTTGGGAATATTATGATAGTTGTAACAAGTCATTATAACATCCTCTACTTCTAAACATCTTTTGTATTAACTGCTTTGATGTTGTGATATTCAGAAGTGCACAACTCACACACAGCCAGTGGCTTATATTAATGGAACAACAAAACTTTCACAAGATCTTTAAATAATTCCTGTAACATTCAAACCAGCCCCATAATATCCAATTTTCTGAAAGAATCAATCACAACTGAAGATGAAAGCAAACACGAGCAAAATACCCATGGTTTCTTCCTTACTTTATCCACCTTTGGATGGTGTGGATAGAGAGTATTTGTCAAATACAATAATATACCCTGCATAGTTTGATGACTGAACGAATGGGATTTTCAGCATTCACGGACTTAAAAAAATAAACAAATAAATAAATAAATAAACCAGGCAAATTACTACTCTAGATAGAAAATGAACATATTTCTAACCTATAGAAAATGATTTGTTCTTTTTACAAATGTCATGGAAGAGAGGAAATGATTTCAGGAGGTATTATTTTAGTATAACTAAAACACAATTAAAGAAAAATAAGAGAGGAAAAAAAGTTTACCTTGCTAGTGCTATGCCAACAACACAGCCACCTACAATGGACCAAAATCCAATCCAACCTGCATCCACCTGTGAAAAAAACACAAGATAAAGAAATACAATGTTGTTTCTAGCAACACAGAAGGTAATTGGTTGATATTTACTATTTCTGTATACAGTAACTATTTTGGAATACAGCTCTGAAAGTAAATTTCTATTTGGCTATTGATTGGCATTATTCAATTTGCCTAATCTCCTTTTAAATCATCTAAGGAAGCAGACATTCTTTCTCGAGATCCTCAAGACTGTTTTCTCAAAACCTTCTTGAGAAAGCAAATACAAGTCGGCACAGTCTGTGTATGAGATGTATTTTTTTTAGGTTGACTTCAGTCTGACCAGAGGCATTCACAAGGGGAAGAAGGAATCTATCATATGTGCATTGTGACACTGCATGCACATCTAAAAGGGGCAGAACTTACATTTCAAGGATGTGACACTGTCACAAAAGACTTCTGGGAGCTTTTGGAACATTGTCACTGGTCTGATCAAGTGATTCCTAAGGTCAGAAACAAAAATTGAGGATGAAAGGAAGATGATCAACCATGACAGAGTTAGACTAGGTCTTAGATAAAGTTTGAAAAGCACTGACGTCCTAGTCATAGAAAGGAGACAGGAGTGCATTCAACTGGGACTTTGGAGAAGTATATAATCTTTTTCTATCCACATCTCTCGAGGAACTTGAAATAAATAGACCTAGTTTGTTGTTGTGAAAGTAGCTTATAGCAATAGCAATAGCAATAGCAATAGCAGTTAGATTTATATACCGCTTCATAGGGCTTTCAGCTCTCTAAGTGGTTTACAGAGTCAGCATATTGCCCCCAACAACAACCCGGGTCCTCATTTTACCCACCTCGGAAGGATGGAAGGCTGAGTCAACCCTGAGCCGGTGAGATTTGAACAGCCGAACTGCAGAACTGCAGTCAGCTGAAGTAGCCTGCAGTGCTGCATTTAACCACTGCGTATTGGGTAAACTTTATGTGGAATTCCTCTAAGGAAACAAACTATAATGCTACTGTAATTATTCTCTTTCTTTCCCTTCATGCTAATGGGAAAGTTTCGGTTTTTCAAATTCACGCTTGTGAACTAGCAATGAAATTTGAAATTATTATCTTTCTCCTCAAAACCAACAAATTAAGATTCAGGCTTTCCCTGAAGTTGAATATTCAGACCTGAAGCAGCTCAATTAAGTTCAGGTTCTACAATGCCGCTTTTAATTTCATAGAATATCAGTCATTCTGCTTGTTATTTTAATTTTAAATCACAAAACCAAACTTTTGTCAGCAAACCACAAAGAAATACACATACAGAGACACACACAAATGTACACCTACTTGGCTTATGTGAACTGGAGTTAATATCCAATCAAGAACACCAGACCATCCTGAGAAAACCCCGAGTGGAATTGCATAGGCCAGAGCAATCATTAAAAATCGAGGATTGCTAGAAAGTAAAAAAAAATACAAACAGGTTTGTCAACAGTAACAGATCAAATTTCATTGCAATACTTTCCTCCTCCTATGAATCCTCAAGGACACAACAGGCACTAAATTGGGCAGCAAAAAGTTACAGTTGGTGAAATTTTGCTTAATTTATTTGGAGTTATGATGCAGCAATCGTATTTAAATAATGTTCTTTTTCTAGTAACACTGAGTGATATATATATAGATTTTCCTGGAGGCTACATGTGGATAGTACTGCATTCTAACAGGCAATTTAGACTAAATTATCTTTGGCTCACTTCAGGAACATGACTGTGTACAATTAAAGCATATCTGCTGAGGCAAAACCAATTAATACAATATTTTGATGTTTTACTTAATGTTGCTGTTGTCAGGCTCTTGTTTTCAGTTATTGTGTTTGAAAAGGATTAACCACATTTCAGAGATTATATGTAAAATATGTTTCTCCTTCATACTTTGAGTTCAGCTTCTGTTCTGTTTCACGGTCGAGAGAATTTACATTGGCTTTTTACTGAACTATCTGAATACAACCACATGTAGAAACGAGAACCAGTCCAGCAACTAATAAAAGTTTGCATTCAAACATTTTTCAGTTTATTTACTGTTTATATGACATACATATCCCAGTTCTTTAAGCATGCATTGGTCTGAACAACAAATGAAGAATATACTCCTGCCTGCTTCTCCAATTGTATTCCCTCTCAGAGGTTCTTCCTTACAAACACTCATGAGATATAGATAATCCTCAATTTATGGCCATAATTGAGCCCCAAATTTATATTGCTAAGTAAGATACTTGTTAAGTGAATTTTGCCACCTTTCTTGCCACAGTTGTTAAGTAAATCACTGCAGTTGTTAAGTTAGCAACACAGTTGTTAAGTGAATGTGGCTTCCCCATTGACTTTGCTTGTTAGAAGGTCATAAAAAGTGATACATGACCCTGTGAATGGTTACTAAACAAATTGTTGTTAAGTCATGAACTATCTGAACGGACTGCGATATAGTTGGGCAATAGTATCAGGTAGCATTTTGCTCTTCTTCTTCTTCACTTCACCCTCCAATAGTTTGTTTATTTGTGTCAGAAGTATCACAATTAAAAATAAGGAATACTGTGTGACATAAAATTTAAAATATAAAATGCAAGATTAAAATATGTACAGATTTATCAGTTTTTCCCCCAGAAACTAGCAACATGAATTGTGTTCTGTCACACTGCCATGAGGGCCTGTGTACACTGGAGGACCTCCAGTGTACAATCCAGAAGCACAAGCACCCTTCTTGTAAATTCATAGCTTGTAAGCACACTGTTGGGAGGGGGCTTGTCCTAAAGGGCAGACTGCTTGAGGATCTGAGCTGAGATTCCAAGTAATTATCCATGTGTGGCCATGTGGCCTTCCAGGCAAAGCAAAGATACACTATATCACAACTTATTAAGTACCTGGGTAAGGTATTCACAGAAGGAACAAATGTATAAAGAGGATGCACTATGCTTCCCCTCCAGTAATCTGATCTCAACATGTGATTTTAATGGTTGCACCCTAATAGCCTACATCCTTTTATTCCTTCAATTTCGATATGGTGCCAAATTTGACAATCAGCATTTTATATGAGACACTCATAAGCCACAAATATTTCATCCATTTTATATATAAACTGAGCCAACATTCATCATGCAACAAGGAAATGAAGGAAAAATATGTAGATAATATTCTAGGTTTGTCTGTGTGTGTGTGTGTGTGTGTGTGTGTGTGTGTATGTGTACACATTCAATTTCTATAGCTGCTCATCTCAGCAAATGGTATCAAAACAGTTCCAATGTTCTGCTAGAAAATGGTGTCTATATTGTGGAAACCAGCAGGGTTTTTTCTTCTTTGCTTTAGTTTTACTTGAAACAGGCACACGAGCACATGTTTGTTGCACATTCAGTTCCTGGCCTTGTCTTTATTGTTCCATTTGAGCTCTTCTAACTCCTTATCTAATGATATACTAAATTTGATTTCCATCTACTCCATCTGGCAATATTCATGTATACAGATGCTGCTTCGATTGTTGGAAGACTATGTTAGCAATGAAAAGATAATTGGGTTGGCAGAAATTGATAAGTTGTTTTTCTGTCTCATTTGGGTTACCTAGGCCAAACAGTCCAAATATGTTTTTTGTCTTCTATATTCTGTACATTTCAAATTGAACTTGATCATATAAAACTTGTCAAATTTCATTCCTTCTACATCAGTGGTTGGAGCCTAATGAAGTGTACTTGAAATTGTCCAATCATTGATTGCACTTTACCCAAATATTGTATTTGTTATATTCTTCTTATGAAAGAAATGCCATACCTTGTTTTTTTTGTGTCCCCTGAAATAAGGTATCCAGACCATTTCAATTCACTCTTGTCCAATATGTTAATCTGTACCCTGTTTCCTCGAAAATAAGACCTCCCTGGATAATAAGCCCAATCGGGCTTTTGAGCCCATGTGCTAAAATAAGCCCTTCCCAAAAATATTGCAACATAGCAGCAGCCATGAGGTGACCAGGCTCGCTGCGTCCTGCACCTCAAAAATAATAAGACCACCCTGAAAATAAGGCCAAGTGCTTATTTTGGGGGTCAAAAGAAAGTAAGATCCTGTCTTATTTTCAGGGAAACACGGTAGTTGTTTCATTTTTATCTTTCACTGTGTGACCTTTTCCATGTTCTTATATTTCACGTTCCTACTATAATTCAATTATTGCAACTCAGACTTTCTTTTCCTGTTCAACATTAGAAACTAGTTATCCCAAAGTCTTTAATATACCCACATTACAAACACTTAATACTCCAAAGGATCGTTATTTAAAGATAGCATATTAAGTGCTCTCCCTATCATGCAGCATTTTATTATCAATCACTTTATCCTATCTATCCTTGTAGTTCTCTTAGTCAAATATAGAAAGGGTTTACCATTCTTCTATGCAGTATGAAACTATTATCTTGGCCATTGTTATTATAGTGATCATCCTCCACTGACATATTATTATATGGTTGCTGCCCAACAAAGGTGCTTGTTTGATTTAGCTAGACAACTGGGATGACCTTCATCTCTTGGTTGGCCCTGTTGGGAAAACATACTCATGGTGTAGAATTCAGTATTCTTTGTGCATCCCTCCAAGGAACTCCCCATTATAACAAATGAAAAAGCGTAGAAGAACTTGAGGAGGGAATGTATAGATTGTGTGCCAGTTCTACAAAACTATATCTAAATACTTCACACAACATAGCTCAGTCAAAACTAGATCAACCTCCAACCAGTGTTCACTGGATGAATTAGATATACTGCCAAATCCTGAAAAAGTAGGATGCCTAAATTACAGTATAAATATATTGAGGTCTGCTATTTTGTCCATATTGCTTTGTATATATGGGACAAACTACAAAATAAAATGAATTAAGAAAACAGGATACAGGGGTGAACAAGAGAAACCAGGGATTTTAATCATCCAATCACTGGATACAGTAGTAGATACAATACAAAAAGGACAGAATAATAATGTTGAAAGGGAGTTGGAGATCTTCTAGTCCAACCCTCTGCTCAAGCAGGAGATCCTACACCATTTCAGACAAATGGCTGTCCAATCTTTTCTTGAAAACCTCCAGTGATAGAGCACCCACAACCTGATTAATTATTCTGTCAGGAAATTTCCCCTTATTTCTAGGTTGGTTGAACAATTTTATTTACATTGTTTACTTCTATGGAAGAAGAAACAGAAGAAGTACATTTTTGCCAGGCAACTTCCATTATTCATCCATCAACAAAGATATGACTGTTTCTTAAACATTCAACAAAATAGGTCCCAAGGGGAAAAAAATACACTGAATTAGGTACCAATAATTTAGATGTGTCTTAGGTAGCAAATTATCTGTAAAAATGCCCTTTACTAAAATTTCTTTAACCTATTGAAATGAATAATAGCTCTGACCTACAAAACACATATGAGAAAGAAACATAGCTTCATTGAAGTGAGGCATTTTCACACAAACTTTTTAAAGGGACCCTGTTATATTTAGAGCATACTCAAAACAGATCATCTGATGCAAGATAACACTATTTCGTATTTATAAAAAATGCTAACTAATATAAAGTGCTGAAATAGCAAACAAGATTCCCACCCACCCCCAAAAAAATCACTCAGAGGGATGCAAAATTTTCTTCCAATAACAATTCACCTTCAATGCTCACTAAAGGGAAGCTGGGGAAATTCTTTCATCAACCTCATTCCATCAAATAAACATTGGCTGACAGAAAAGCCCCAAAGAATCAGCTTTTGTGTAAATGAAAGAAGCAAAAAGCTGCTATAACACACACACACACACACACACACACACACACACACACACACACACACATATATAAACAAAAAGCTGCTATCTGCTTAGAACGGTATAAATATTGCTTAACTGCTTACATTTGAGAACTGCAGGACAAAATGTATCAACACTGAATGCATAAGGAAGTTTTGGTATCATGGCAAGTTCATGTTTCCTAACCAGTTGCAGTCTATATGTTGCCAAAGGAAATATTTTTGTTAAATTCAAAACTACAGATGTAAATGATGAATGTGATTTTTTTCTTCTTATAATAGAAGACTTGATAATTTGAATCCAATTATAAGCAATGTTGAACTTGGAAGAACAAAAGATTCAGGTTTCCGACAGAGACTAATGCAATGTCTGGAAACAGAAGTATTCCCATGCAATCAAAAATATGGATCCGGTATGTTTTTGGACTTTTGTCCTAATAAAAAAGGAACAACTAGAGAAGAGAACTAGAGAACAACATGAAAGTATCCACATCTTCAAAGAAATAAAATTCACTAAACGACAACAGACTATCTTTCATGCATATTTTCTTGAGCAGAGGAAATGACCAGGAGATCAGAAACAAAGGTCTATCTAAAAACCACAACACTAATCAAGTGCTCTACTAGTAAAGTAACAACTCAACA